AAATATAATTGTCTACCATTAAGTCAGTTTACTTAGATCAATTAACCCTGGATCCGTAGCTATCATTGCATGTTACAAAAATAATGGTTGCTTGTTCAAAAATGTAATTTCAAGGATTTTTTAAATTCATATTGAATTCACCGACGAAGTTTCATTTTAAAGTCAAAGAAATAAAATTATTTCGAGAAATGCAATAACTTTATTGTTATTATACATTCCTCGAAATAATTGTATTTCAAAGAGGATAGTAACTTTATTATTATTACTTTTATGTGTATTCGCATTTTTTTAAATTTCTAGCTTGTTCAATTTCTAAAGTGCTGAAATATATTTTCGAAACATCTACACAAAAATTCTTTATTTCATCAATGTCCGTATCGCGGAACGTGTTCTTCGCTACCGCAGTAATAATAAATTTTCTGCTCCCGCGCGAGTGACATCAACGCCTCGCTTTTCATCGATGCGTCACGCGTCGTTTTCTTCGACCTCATCACTCGTCACCCGTTCGATCAGTCTTCCCATCGTTATTAATAAAGAAAGAAGAGTCATTCGACGGGCGAGAATATTCCCAAGACCGTCACGTTCGTTCGATGGGAAGTTACGAGTCACGTTTCGCATCGAACTCACCTGACCGAGCATCGACTCGTGAATTTCGCGACGAACGGGGAACACTGTATTGCAGACAGTATTTTTCTTCATCGATCGCGTTTGTCATCGCAGCACCGCATAGTTTTCTGATTTGCTATCGGTTGTCTCGATTTCTTTGTTAATTTACGCGCCTCGTAAATAAGAATTTTTCTCGTCTCTACACTTAATTCTACGTTACACAGCCCATAGAATATTTTGCAGTTGAATATTATGTATACTTGGAAGAAATTAAGTTTTATACAAAAAGTAACATAGAGAATGATAATTTTTATCATTCTTAGCAAACTTATGAAACGTACAAACGTGATCCAAAGTGCTTCTCGTATCGAACAACAATAGAGAACACGTTATCGCGGCGCGATAAAAAGTTCGTCGGTCGTCGAATTATTTACCGAACTTAAACGGCCCGAGATAATTTCTGAACTTGGCTAGCGTTAACGTTTTCACGACGAGTGGGCGGAAGTGGATACCTATAGAGTATTTTCGGAACTCCTGGTGCAACATCCAACTTCGCCCGTGCACGATAAAGTTGAATGAGATTTAAATTTAATCCTGAAATTTCGAACGGGTTCGTTTAACCTAACGAGAGCAGCTCGTTTTTTCCGGCAAATGAGCAGGCCCCCCCCCCGGTCGAGCGTTTCTCGCGAAAATTAGACTGACGCGAACATTATCGGAAACTGTTGTCGCGGTTCGTTTGAATTAGTATCGAGCTCGGTGGATCCTTTTTTTTTCTCTCTCTCTCTCTTTTTCGTGGCCCAGCTTTGAAAGTTCCCATTTTGATGATACTCCGAAGGTGCATCAGGGGAACGCTTTCAAGCGAATGCAGGAGTTCTCGGTTAGTTGGCGGAGGAACACGAATTCCAGTCGATGAATAGGATCCAAAACCGTTTGCTGTGCTCGTTTCGGGCTCCTCTTTCGTCGCTTTTGATCTTAGGAATGACTTTTCAGCGAGCGCGCTTCGCGGAACATCGTCGGTTTCTGAAGGTTTCTCTTCGAACGAGATTCATCTCGAGAGCCGAAAAGCTCTTTGGTTCTAAATATGCCTGTACCACGGTTGATCAAGAAACAGCGTACAAACATTGATTAAACACGGTCGTGTTATTTCCTAAGAAATTTATTTATGGAACTCGCGAATGCCGTAAATGCAGTTTATCTGCAGACATTATTTACTTGTACTATTGCTGCTATCGGGCTAATTAGTCGAATGCTTGTACACTGTCTCACACTTGGGTAGCCTCGAATGGAGATTGAGCCACTAGCTCGTATAAAGAATATTACAGTGAAAGGAAAATACATCTTAATAAAAATGGGGTCAAAACTCTTTTCAGAAAGGGGTCTTCAATTCGTTGACTTTAGCCCAGATCAAACTAGTTTTTAGACATTTGAAAATTAGCGTATCCACAATTTATCATAGTTACATTTCAAGAATCCTATGTAGATTTATTTTCTATCTAAACTATACAAACATCGCTTTAAAAATGTCTCCAAACACCTCCTTGGAGGAGACATCAGTGAGCAAAGGATTAAATTCAATTTTCCCGCGCAATTTCGCTATTCTTGATTTTCGCCGCGGAATCGATCCGACCCAATTCGTGCGATGAATTACACCCTGCACGCAGTATTTCGCGAATCGATCCGCCAGTCCCGGGCGCAGATCGCAAAACTTTGCAAAGAAAGAAGGTACAGGAGGCGTGCAAGGCAGGCAGCCGCGATAGACCGAGAGAAGCCCGCAACCGTGAAATTCTCTCGCCGCGTGGCGATTGCGGTGAAGTCGTTCATTGACTTCTCTCCCCCTCGACGCCCTCCCCCCTGCCCCCCTCCTCCTCCCCCCTCTCTTGGCGGATGCATCCGGATTATTCGTTCATGTTGCAGCTCGCGGCCGAGTGCACTTACGTACACACGCGTGCGTTTTCATCCTCCTCCACCTTGCCTCGGTCGCCCCCCTCCTCCTCCTCCGTCTCCCTCCTCCCACCTCCCGTCGCCGCGGTTCGCCTTCTCCGCGCTACCCCCCTCGTCGTCTCGCTCCTCTTCGCGACGACGAGATAGAAAGAGGGAACGCGACCGTGGGGGGTGGGAGAGGGGTTTCAGAGGGCGGAGGAGGAGGAGTAGACTCGAGACTACTCGTTGGAAGAAGCAGGGCTCACCACTTCGCAAAGTTACTCGTGTTCTGGCGTCTAGTGTCGGTTCTGGCCCGTAGCAACTCCATTCTCCCGCGTCCCTGGTCCCGAATCCTTGGTCGCGCAGGATACCACGTCGCGGCAGATCGGAGGATACTCGAGGTACGACGACCGTGACCTAGCTCTTGGGGATTTTCGACCTCGAAACGATACGTCGCTCGCGTTTGCTCGCTAGCGTCGACGAGACGATTATTTTAAAGCGGAGAGTATTAGCGCGTTCCGATCGTGGAACGTCGGTCGGCTGGCTGGCTGGGTTGGCTCTCTGTTAATTAGGATCGCGCACGTGGCGCCGTGTGTGTGTGTGTGTGTGTGATTTCTGACAGTGAAGTGTTCGGGGTCCCGTTAGATTCGGTGCATCGTGCCTGTATCGAGGAATTGCGTAACGTTGGGGAGGTCGCGAGGAATGCACGAGCGTTAGAACGCTTAGCTGACCGCGTGGGATTGGCGCAGAGGCGATTGCTCTTTGGTGGCTGTTGTTGTGTCCGCGCCGCGGCGACGCGAGCCTTTAAAAGCGCGCGATAATGATAGTGATGGATGGCAAGTAGGTTGGAACGAGGAGACCGGTGGAAAAAAAATGGATAACAAACGTTGTCCAAGAAGCGCATTAAAGGCATTGTGGGAGTGAATCAACGCGGCCCTCGAACAGCAATAAATAATCGCGGGGAGGGGAATTGTAAATGTTCGCGACGATAAATCGACGTACACGGAAGACGTACTACTACGTTAACGAGATTTGACTCGCGAGTGGACGTAGCGGTACGTCATCGGCCAGCCAAGTGTTACGAATAAAGAGTATATTCCGTGCGACCGAAGGTCTGCTTAAACACGTCAGCGGTGCAACATCAGCGACGAGGATTATACCGACACTTGTTTCGATCTGTGTATTTATATTTAATCTGCCCGCTTGGTCTGGTGGAAGACGTATCGCCGAGGAATCTCGACTTTCACTCGCGAAAGGACGTAGTACTACGCCGATATATCGTACACGGACGTATTTAGTGTCGTTTTTTGGGGAAACGTTCCTCGTGCTGGTTACGATCGTGTTTGGGGGGTCGTTGATCGCCAAATTTCCTGCGTGGTTAACATTTTCGTTATCCAAAAGAATTTTTTAGTGCTTCTGAAATTATTTTTAAGTTCTTCTAAAGTTTTCCTGTATGGATATTTGAGCGATTGCTTGTATGTATATACTCTCCAGGCGTTGAATAATCTCAATAACAGAATAGTTTCCAATATTCTCAGTACAGTGTATTTCGTCTTGGCCATAGGGATCCGTATCAGAAAAGAAGATCGATCGAACGTTTGTGTGATTGTGAGACGCATCACTACGTCGAGGAATCTCAACTTTCACTCGCGAAAGAAACTCAATTAGTAGTCAGTATGTCGTTTTGGAAAATGTACTCAGTGACTGACCCCGTCAGAGATTCGAGGCCGTACCGATAATGTGTTAGACAACTATGATTCTATCAGGGAACATTCATCGTCAACTGTGTTGTTTAACCAGCTGCGTTTGCAGTACCGATATTCAAAAGGAGTTTAAGTGATAGTGCCATCTTTAGACTTTCTTTATAGCTTCCCTTTGCCTTATTCTGCTAACTCAAGCCAGCAAATCTTTCTTTCAAAGTAAACTCCAAGCAATGTACAGTGTCTAAGAAATTGTGAAATTCTTCATCGATCTGAGAGTATTAATATAACCCTTTCACAAATTATTGCATAATGTCTTCGAGTGTAGTCCAAGTTCAATTTCTTTAAAAAACGAACTTGCCAACATCTAAAAACACTACAGTACATCTCCATCCTTTTCTGCCTGATATGAACTCCTATTTAGACTAATGTTAACGTTATTTTTAAAAAAGGAAAATGAATTCTATATTCGTAGAAAAGAAGGTTAACAACTACTTGTTCGATTAATCGCTTCGATCATTAGGGCGTGTGGCAATCTTAGAAGTATAAATAATATATACGTGTGTAGCAGAGACTCGAAAATACCAGTCGTTTACCTAAATTTACGTTTATTTTAGACCTTCGATAATTCTCTATGTATAACGTAAATTTAGGTGAAACGCGTCGTCCTGTTTTTTAATTTGGTGCACAGTGTATTCCTAAGAACTGTGGTCCACTCGCGAGTGCAATACCGAGGAAGAGGATTAAATAGACGGTTGTCTTTTGTCTGTGCAGGATTCACTGCCGATCCATCCCGGAGGCTGCAGCAGCGATCACCATTATCGGTGAGTAACAGTTTCGCATTGACGCGGCGGGAATGCAACCACGCTTCATTCCGCATGCAAGACACGCGGTCGAGGAATTCAGCCAGCGACAATCCGCGAGTAACGCTCGGTTCTATTCGTCCCGGAGTCGTCCTCGGGAACAATTTACGCGCGCTTACGGTTCTCCGCCGCCGCGGGGGGAAGCCTTCGACTCGTGATTTATCGTCGTTTCTGTTATTTATATATTTATTTTTATTTGTCCCCGCTTGGCATCGAGCGGAATAAAATTCTTGTTTTCTTCCTCCTGGAGGACTCGTTTCGCCGAACGCGTTGTGAAACGCCTGGTCGGTGAATGGAAATTAATTCCCCGCGGTCGAAGGTTGGATTATCGACTGCGAGAGAGGAGGGGGGTGGAAGATTTGTGACACGCGAACAATATTTCGAAAGCGTTACACAAATCTAATTAACTCTTCGCAGTCCGTGTTTGCGTTATTGAATTAAACGGTGGACGAGTTAATTTTGTAATTCGGTCGGGGTCGAAGTAGAATATTTTCAAGAACCGTGTCGCGTCGGGGATTGTAATGAGCAGGATCTGGGTGATTTTTTGAGTTATTTATTTGGGGGATACATGACTGCATGTTTAAATCTATCCATTGGTAATCTCATGGAATGACTAATAAATTTAAAGAATCTACTTTGGGGCCTCTCAATCATGTTAATGTATTTATTTTGGCGGGGAAACCGAAACATGCTCGCCTACTCAAATTTAGAACGTACCAATGTATTACAAAGAGTTATCAAAAGTGGACAATTTTGGAAATCAACAACGTTTATAACATCTTTAATAATTTATTATTATCAATTATACCTAGATAACGGTTTAATTTTTGGTATTACGACTCTGTTATAATACTACTTCGTCCAAACGCGATTACGCTTAGAGATAAATTGAGGGAGGGGAAAGAAATTGGAAAAGATATCGTGCAATTTGCGGCTTCGAGTGAAATTAATGCCAGTTTCGAACGGGCGAGTGTAATAGATCTTGTGGAGTAATGTCAATTACGGTTAGGGGCATTAATTCGACCAGCCATGGTAATAGAGTTTCCTTTGCAACGTTATTAGTTGGTGATTGGTCTGGCGCGGATATTTCAGGATGTTTAAACTTTCGTGAAAGCAGGAAATCACATCCTGAGAACCAAATGTCTATCCGAACGTAAGTTAATGGCGATTCCTAACTGTTCGTGGCCCACTGAAATTCGTAGATAATGATAACGCAAAGAATTTCTATAGAACACCATATCTGTGTCGACAAGAATAACTGATATATTTTGCAATCTTATATTAACAATAAATAGCTATTAGTAACCGCATGCATCATTTCCAGCAGTTCTAAATAGCAAATCCAGCTGGCACAAATAGATTAGATAAATATATTTGACCCACTTTTGTCTCGTATCTTACTAACAAGAATTAAAAATTACAATTTTAAATATCCGTACAATAGTAATAGGTCTTTGATATACCATGCTTTTGTGTATTAAGAAATTATGCAAAGGCAATGCACAGCTGTTACTAACCGATCTTTGAATTACATATCTTTAATATTATCATCAGTAACATTTAAATATAGAAATACTTAAAATAGATACTCTGATATAAGGGATGATTCTTCGTTTTTAAAGTCTAAAAATAGCAGCGAACTGTTCCATCGTCGGTCTCTTCGGTTGTTTCCTTCTGAGTAGCCTTGAAATCTCTGAAGTCTTTATCATTATGGGGGAAAAAGTAAAATAAAAATGAAGTGTTGAAAGGCTGCTACCCGCAGAAATCATTATTCTTAGGCGGTTGCAGGCCCAGCCCATAGATATCCTACGCGGACTATAATTTATTTTTTCGTTTAATGCAAGATGATGACTCCGGGTGCCCGGATCAGACATTCAACCGCAAAGGGTTGGCTCTTGGGCGACTGGCAAGCGATCCGATGTAGAAACTCGTTCCTCGTGAACGCCTCTATTACGTCGAGAACCTCCTCTCTTTCTCTCCCGCGCTACGTCGACGCAAACAAACGTGGCCGAGGCCGAGCTGAATGAAATTCAAATTGCGAAAATCGGTCGGGAATGCGTGTATTTTTGTAACACGGTAGTTTTCGATTCGATCCCAATTGAATTCGAGGCCCGAACTCGCGTAAAACGACGCTGTTTTCGCGAATCGTTTTCTTTTTATTTAAAAAGATTAAAATCACTTTTGCCCAAACGATCCGTCGCACCAGCTTAGAATTAATTTAAAGTTTCCTTTTTGTAATTTATCTTTGCATAAAAAAATGTGTTCCTTGTACCTGTGTAATTATGGCGAATGACAACGGTAATTGTTTCTGATTCTCGACGCAATTACTCGCAGATTACAGTAATCTCGTAGCTTCCGGTTTGTAACGTCGCTGATCGAGTCTAGGAAAATTGTAGCTAATGTCGGTATTAGTTTAAACTTGATAGTAACCACTAAAATTGTTAATAAATAATTGAAATTACGTTTACCGCAGTATTCATAGATGTGATTTTCTAATATTAATTTAATATTGTTTGTTAATTTCGAGAAATTCTGATAAAATTTTTCCACAAGACTGAAACTTTGATTTCAAACAATTGTAAACTATGTAATTCAAAAAGACATGAATTCGAACAGGATTCGTGATTTTTAAGACAAATTTTCAACTCGAAAATTAATTGTTTTAGTTCCATAGTGAAAAAGTCCCGTCACCCATGCGTGGATGACGTGTCAGTCAAAGTGTGAACGAGAAATAATAACGTATGAATTAGAGCTCGGTGTATCCCAAGTGCCCTAAATGGTCCTAAATTTCTGTGACGAACGGATTGTGAAGTCGAGAACCCCGTGCAAGCGAAGAAGGAGGCGAGATCCTTTCGACGCGAAATAAAAGGAAGCCTCGAGGAGCAAGGGAGCAAGGATCCGGTGGGCGCAGGGAGGCGAGTGGTCAGACTGGTGCAACAGGACGTTACTCCTTGGCTGGCGGAGCAGTCTCGTATTATTACTCCGTCCTCCTTCGGTCCTCCTGCTCCGCTGACTGCTCGAGTCTCTAAGTCTAAGCCCGGAATGCCGCAGGGAGAAGGGTTAGCGTACGGATAGAACCCTATGCAACGAGGTACTGGCTGCTCGAGGGTTCTCGGCGCAGGGTCAAGGAACGCTACTGATAGCGCTCTCGACGGTTTCGCGATGTTTACGCGAGTCTGTCGTACCGTTACCATAATCTCAGTCGCGTCGACTCGAGACGCATCGCTGAGGTGGATTCGTCGCGACGCCTTCTGCCAGGTTTTCCCTCGGGGAGACGAGTTGATCGCGGCTCAACTCCAGAAACCATTGTTTTTTAATGGGCCATTCTACCCTCAGCGTACAAGAACTGGGGCATTTTTGGAATTTTGTAAAACGAAAATTATTCCCGATATCAATCTCAAATTTTCCATAGTGGGTTATAGATGTGTTGCCAAGTTACATATTTTTTTTTGTTAAGAAATATAGCATTGGTTCGAAGATATAAATTATTTTCCCAATCGTTGTAAAGTAGAAGTATCTTCTAGTATAGAAGATCTGGGATACTTTAGAATTTTATAAAATGAAAATTGTTTTTCGTATCAATTTCAAATTTTGCATAGTGGTTTATACGTATCTTGCCAACTTACATATTTTTTTTTGTTAAGAATTATAGCATTGGTTCGAAGATATAAATTATTTGCCCAATCGTTGTAAGGTAGAAGTATCTTCTAGGTTGGACGATCTGGGATACTTTAGAATTTTATAAAATGAAAATTGTTTCTCGTATCAATTTCAAATTTTGTACAGTGGTTTATACATATCTTGCCAAGTTACATATTTTTTTTTGTTAAGAATTATAGCATTGGTTCGAAGATATAAATTATTTTCCCAATCGTTGTAAAGTAGAAGTATCTTCTAGTTTGGAAGATCTGGGATACTTTAGAATTTTATAAAATGAAAATTGTTTTTCGTATCAATTTCAAATTTTGCATAGTGGTTTATACGTATCTTGCCAACTTACATATTTTTTTTTGTTAAGAATTATAGCATTGGTTCGAAGATATAAATTATTTGCCCAATCGTTGTAAGGTAGAAGTATCTTCTAGTTTGGACGATCTGGGATACTTTAGAATTTTATAAAATGAAAATTGTTTCTCGTATCAATTTCAAATTTTGTACAGTGGTTTATACATATCTTGCCAAGTTACATATTTTTTTTTGTTAAGAATTATAGCATTGGTTCGAAGATATAAATTATTTTCCCAATCGTTGTAAAGTAGAAGTATCTTCTAGTTTGGAAGATTTGGGATACTTTGGAATTTTATGGAATGAAAATTGTTTCTCGTATCAATCTCAAATTTTGCATAGTGGTTTATACGTACCTTGCCAAGTTACATATTTTTTTTTGTTAAGAAATATAGAATTGTTTCGAAGATATAAATTATTTGCCCAATCGTTGTAAGGTAGAAGTATCTTCTAGGTTGGAAGATCTGGGATACTTTGGAATTTTATAAAATGAAAATTGTTTTTCGTATCAATTTCAAATTTTGCATAGTGGTTTATACGTACCTTGCCAAGTTACATATTTTTTTTTGTTAAGAATTATAGCATTGGTTCGAAGATATAAATTATTTGCCCAATCGTTGTAAGGTACAAGTATCTTCTAGCTTAGAAGATTTGGGATACTTTGGAATTTTATAAAATGAAAATTGTTTCTCGTATCAATCTCAAATTTTGCATAATGGTTTATAAATGTGTTGCCAAGTTACATATTTTTTTTTGTTAAGAATTATAGCGTTGTTTCAAAGATATAAATTATTTGCACAGTCATTGTAAGGTACAAGTATCTTCTAGCTTGGAAGATTTGGGATACTTTGGAATTTTATAAAATGAAAATTGTTTTTCGTATCAATTTCAAATTTTGCATAGTGGTTTATACGTACCTTGCCAAGTTACATATTTTTTTTTGTTAAGAATTATAG